GCCACTGCTGTTACTTTTTCTTGTCAATTTTTAATTATATGGACCAAAGAGAAAAATAATCCTATGCTGCACTGATTTATTATATCAATATTTTGAGATTATTTTTCTCAAAAATATATAATTTTTAAAAGATTACTTTGATTTAAAGATTGAATAGTATTTTAGGGCCAAATATATTTTGCAGAAGAACAAGTTTCAGTTTTACAGGAAATGAATAAGAAAAAGCAGTAGTTATATAGAAATTCAACTAACAGTTTACCCTTTAAGAGACTACCAATTCTCTTCACCCCTAGTGAATCAGACTCTTTTAGAAGTTTCAGAATCAAATATGTTCTCAGTTTGAGAATCACAAAAGATCAAAATTATCAATTAAAATGAATGTTTTATCAAAGTAATATGTGTATGAAAAAACACCTAAAATCAGCTTTGGAATAAAATTATCTGAGATATTTATTTAAATAAATTTTGAAAGCTTTATTTAAAGTCAATATTAATTTTTTTCTCTAAAGTTCCCTAAATATTCTCATGCATGTTTTCTGATTGAAAATGAAGTGGTTGAGCAGTCTAATATAAGTAAAAGTTGCAAAAAAAATCTTTAAAAATGGGTTTTTTTTTCGTAGTTCAACTGAAAAGGACATGCTACATCCAATATGAAGGCTCCAATCTGGCCAAATTTATTTTTGAAAAATAAAATATGAAATAAAGGAGAAATATGAAAAGGCAACAGAAATCTTAACATTTTTCAAAAATATCACCTACAGTTGGCATCAGAATAAATGAGAGTGATAATACAAAATACTTTGCAAACTTGAAGTGTTACATAAATACCAGTTGTTTTGTTTATTATCTTTGTTGCACAGAAGCAAATGAATATAGTAACAAAGTATTCAACAAACTTACCATTGGGTAAGGGTCTGACTATGCACGTGTTTTGCTTTTCTTTTTCTTTTCCCAATCAGCAAGGTGAGGGAAAGAGGGGATATAGAGATAGGGGCAAACCCTCCCCCCAAAAAAGAAGAGGGTCATTTATCCAGTCTCAGACACATCAACACTCACTAGCTGTGTGACTCTGGGCAAGTCATTTAACCCCAACTGCCTCACCAAAGGAAAAAAAAAAAAAGAATTATGCACACAAGAAATCACAGACAAGGACAGCTTTAAAAATTACATGTTGAATTATACACTTAAAAAGGAAAGTAAGTAGTAATTAACAGATTCATTTTTTCTTATAAAAAATAATAAAATTTTCAGGCAAGTTGAAAAATTAAATGTAGGTGATGAACTGACAACTGAGAGAAATAGCATGTAGAATTCTTTTTGCAAAGCAAAGAATCTATTGACTAATTTGAATACATTCTGCTTGTCATATGCTGCATATGCTTAAAATGGGGGGAGGTGGAGGCAGTTAGATGGCACAGTAGAATAGAGCACTGGCCCTGCATTCAGGACGACCTGAGTTCAAATCCAGCCTCAGATACATAAGACTTACTAGCTGTGTGACCCTGGGGAAGTCACTTAACCTCATTGCCCAGCCAAAAAAAAAAAAAGGAAAAAAATAAAATAAAATCGGGGGAGGTAAGAAGAAATTTATGTATCAAAGGCACACTTATGACATTATCATTTGATTTACTGCATGAAATCATATTACAGATAAAACTGGTATAGCAATGTCTTTCCAGAAATTCCAGTAACCAAATCCTTGTGATATGCAAAGATAAACTACTGTATCAAATTTCCAATTGATATTTATCTGTTATAGAAGCCATAGCACATCCAAAATTTAGATCATTTTAGTCAAATAAAGCTAAACTGGACAGTCAATTATCAAGCATTTCTTAAGTGTCTACTATGTGCCAGTTACTGGGGATACAAAGACAAAAATGAAACATCCTATGCCCTTGAGATGCTCAGGGGTGCTTAGGTATATGCAAAATGATAGATATGCATGAAGTATGTCTTGTGTCTCTAAGCACACCCTAATGTTTTCCAAAAAAAATGTATTTTCATATCTGATTTTTTAAATTTAGGCAAAATATGTTAATTTTTTAAATTAAGGTTTTCTCTATTTAGTTGTAAGAATAAAACTGTCCTTTATAATTATTTAACAAATTATTCACCTTAAAAATAAAATTCCATAAATGAATAATCTAATGAAATGTGTTACACAAAACTGTGCAAATTAGATACAAAATAAATAAAAGGTAATTTTAAGAGGGAGGCACTAACAAGAGGGAAAGATTAGGAAAGGAATCATGTATTGAGAACTAAGCTTTCATCCAAAATTTTCCCTTACCAGCTTATATTCCCCAGGTATCAACAATAAATGATGTGCAGCATTTACTGCTTTCAAGATATTCCTGATAGGAAAAAAACAAACAAACTAGTGATGGGATGAATTATCAGTTTTTGACCAAGGCTTTAGTTAAATTGTTTAATAAGATATGTAAGAAATATGTACAAGTAGAAGTAAATATGTACAAGTACAATTTTACTTTGTATTATCCTTGAGGTGGAGGGGGTAACATTTCTTTAAAAATAAGTAAATCTATATAAAATGTCTGCATATCAACGATGATATACCTTCACTATTAAAACAAACCTACTCTTCCATGGTATCACTAGTCCCACTGATCTCTCTGTTGTTTTCTTTTCCAGGTAAAATACACTCTATGATATATTGCATTTAAGTGGAATGCTCTATTTTTCACCAATTATATATACTTTATTTCCCCACCTAGAATTTAAGTTCCATGAAGGAAGAGTCCTTAATAAGAACATTAATGTTGTTTGCCCTTCATTCTTGAAGAGAATCAATGACATCAGGAAGGGTAATGCCTTGACTTGCAAGAGAATTGGATTTAAGTGAGGCAGGACTGTGCAATTCACCAAGCTTCATTCTCTCCTTCAAAGACATCTGGGTCTATTAGCAAGAAATAGATCAGGACAACTGGAGATGGCCAAAGGACATGAATATTTTATTTTCATCTGTCACTACCTGGCACATAGAGTACAAGAGATATATACTAAGTACTCAAATACTAATAACAAGACATCTAATTACAACATAATGTAGCCTGTGGTCTGATATTTACTTCACAATTGTATGAATTTGAAAAAGTTGTATAATTACTGTTTCTTTAAATGGTCTAATTCATAAAACTGAGTTGATTATTAAAATCCAGTTATAGGTTTAGTGTTGGAAATAAAACCTTTGCTAAAGCCAAAAATTTCATTGACAACAATATTTCTTTGTTGTAAGCTTCAATCTCAAATTCCTGTTTACTGGACTTCTTTCCTTAGAGAACTCAAAGGTAAACAGGTGGAACAATAGATCAGGAAATAGATCAGGTGAAATCAAGAAAATCTGAGTTGAAATCAGACCTTAGACACTTCTTAGCTATGCGACCCTTGGCAAGTCATTTCACCACTTTCTGCTTCAGTTTCCTCATCTGTAAAATGGGGCCAACCTACCTCATAGGGCGCTATGAGGATAGAATATTGTAAAATATTCTAAAGTGCTTTGCAAACCTTAAAGCACTATATAAATGCTAGCTACTATTTTTATTCTTCTTATAACTATTAGGAACTCAGAAAGTCCTAAACAGAATTTATTAACTTTTCCCCTAAATCCACCTTCCTCCTACTTTTCTATGTTCATCAAAGGCATTCCTATTTTTCAAGTCAAACCAGTTTAGAAACCAAAGAGTCTTCCTTATCTCTTTACTCTCTATCACTTCATCAAAGCCAAATTAATTGTCAAATCATTTCTATTCTGCTCCCATAATATTTCTTGCATCCATTTCCTTCTCTCCTTATACCACAACCACCCTATTTCAGGCCCTCATTACATTTTACATGGACTAGTAAAATAACTGTTTAATTCACTTCTTCCTCTAGTTATTTCCCTCTCAAATTCATTGTCCAAACAACTGCCAAATTGATATTCTTATAACACAGGCTTAATCATGCCTCTAGGATAAAATATATTATTTCTAGAATAAAATACAAAATCACTTGTTTGGCATATAAAGCCTATCATAACTAGATTATACAAACTATTCTTCTAGTCAAATTTTATCCCTATCACACACCATTCTAGTCAAATTTGCCTATTTTCCCTACTTGCAAATTTCCCTATGCACAATATTTCACCTTTTATATGCATCTAGTTGAAGTAACAGATAGAGCACTGGACCTGGATTCAAGAAGTCCTGAGTTGAAATCCATCCTCAGACACTTCTTAGTTGTGTGAATGTGGGCAAGTCATTTAATCTCTGCCTCAGGTTCCTCATCTGTAAAATGTGGATAATAAAAGCACCTAATTTCAAGGGATGTTATGAGAATAAAATGAGATATATGTAAAGCAAACTTTAAAAGCACTATATAAATGTTAACAGATGATGATAATGATGATGATGATGATGATGATGATGATGATGTCATCATTAAGTAGGTTTTCTCCCATGCCTAAAATGCTCTCCCTTCCTCACATACACTTCTTGTAATTGCTAGCATCCATAAAGGACTACCTTTATGGATCAAGTGATACCTCTACCATACCAGATGATTACTACTTTTCACTTTACACACCTAAATTTATGTAAATTTTGTTTTTCACAACAGAACATAAGCTCATTCCTTTAAATCGGTAGCTGTTTCCCTTTTTTCCTAACAATGCCTGATATACAGTTAACACTCAAGAAATGTATGTTGAATTGAATATACATAAGAGGCAGTATAATCAGAACCTTGGCATCAAGAGTTACTGTAAGACGATCTTATTTCACTTACTTCCAATCTCTTGGCTATATGTTAGAGACATCAAAGAATGCATAAGGGAAAAAAAGGAGTTTATAGAGAAAGGATGTGTGTGTGCATGCATGTAAGCATGCATGGTCAAGGAAATTAATTCATGAGGGAATGTAATATATGAACTATCAGAACAACATGTCAAAAATCAACTCTGAAATTAAACACTGAAATATTAAATTTCAACTTACCTTGTTCAGCAGCATATGTTTGACTAGCTGAAATAACTTTTGTTAGCTCTGGATTGTACCTTGTTCCTTCTGGAAAAATCACAAGATACATCTGTGAAAGAAATATATATATGTATATGTACATATATGTTATTTTAAACAAAGAAAATAACCCATCCAGACCTAACAGAATTTTTTTAATGAAGAAAAAAAAACCCCAATAGCCTTTCCTTTTACATATAATCTAAATTTCAAGTAGAGTAGTAAACATGCACAAATAGACCCAAAAGAGACTGAAAAATAATATAAAATACATTACATTTCATGAATTCTTTGTCAGGGCATCGCAGGCTTAACAATATTTCCAATGTCATTATTGACTCAAAATTTAACTATGAAGTACTGCCACACACTAAGTTACCACTTTTAAACTGAATTTTTAAAAATAGTTAACATTTTTTTAAAAAAAATCAGTACCAATACTCATCATCACATAATCATACAACTTGTATAAAATATTTTAATGCAATATAGAGTGATTATTCACTTTACAAAGAGGGTCAACATAGGACTCCACTAAATAAAAAGCTCTCCTAGAGCACTTAGAATGATTCAATTTATACCTGAGTTTTCAGGAACAAATCTAGTAGATAGAAGTAGGTATACTTTCAAGTGGAGAAGCTAGACTTGAGAAATCCATTACGAGATGTTAGTGGAATAGCCAATTATCCTAATATTGTCTTTTCCTTTTAGACAGAGAATAAGAAACAAAGAAAGCTAGAAAGGGAAAGCTCAGATTTCTTTTAACCCCTAATCTAATTTGAGACCTGGAAAAGCCACAAAAACTACACTGGCTTAGAGATATGGCTTACAGACTCAAAACAGGTCAAAAACAGAGAATCCACGCCAGTTCTTTTCAATTTACCAGCATTCACAGCACACATAAATCATAGGAACAGAGAAATGGAAGCGAGCTCGTATGATAGACACATTTTGTTCCTTTCATCCACTGGAATATTTGAAAAAGGATACTAGATATAGTTGTTCACTTGTCAAAGAAATATTTTTTCTTATTGGATTCTCTTTAAAATCAAAATCCATGCTTTATTAAAGGTATAGGACTATGTGAGAAATTTAGAGTTTGAAATGTATTTGGTTAGACTACCTAGATAAGAACTGGACTACAGTCATATAGTGTATTATCAAAAAGAAGGATGAAAATAAATTGAAATAGGGCAAGGACGTAGGAAATACCATGGAATTCCTGTTTAAAGGAGATAGGGAGAATTGAAAAGGATATAAACTCCTATTTAGATAAGTCTCATTATTTCTGTCTTTCACAGAACCAAATTTCTATATTTCTTTAGATGACTTAGGCTCTCTACAACTGATTTTTCCATCTAAAAGACTTTCAATCCCAGTTCAATAAGGTGAATCAAGTTACAACCCATATAATACAACCCATATAAAACATCTTCCAGATATTACAAGAACCAAGCCACGCAATCTGGTGTAGTAGTCCAAAACATTTAAATATTATCAAACAGGAAGCAAAAGGCAAGATAGCTTAGTTGTGAGATAGATGTGTAGGAAGGCAACCAGTTAAATGCTTGCGTGGAACGAAGGAAGAGAGGCCACTGCTGGTTGTACTTCCTCCACTATTGGTAAAACATGTAGGAGATATCAGAGAAAGAAGCATGTATGGGTTCACAAAAAATCACAAAATATCAGAGCACCTAATCAAGCCCACCCAAACAAAAATCTTTTAAACTTCGATGGATAATTAATAACTGAGGAAACACAATCTGAGTCACATAATTTATTAACAGGCATAATAAATGGGTCAGACTCTGCAATAAGTCCAAAGACTCTGAAAACAGAACTGAGACAGATGTTTTATGCATTAAAAACAATTAATCAAATAAGACCAATTAATTAAAAGAAAACAATTAAGCCAGATGCAAAATTAGGTGATCATTCCTAACTGGAAGAAAGATTAGGGACTTTCCAAGTTGGGAGAGGGAGAGCGAACAGGTCTAATTTCCTGAAATCAGAAAAAGAGGAGTAGCACTTCCCCAAGTGTCTGTATTCAATCAAAGGAACACGGAAACAATAACTGATTGGCCAGAACAGGGCCAGTTTTGAGATAAGACATATGGGTTGCTTGAGATATGTAGCTGTGAGAAAACTCCTTGCAGAAATCTTTGGATCTGACTATGATTCTACTCAGTATAACCTAGGTTCTTAGTTAAGGTTCTCTAAGTAACCTCTAAGTGAGGGGATCCAGCTTCCCAGCCACTCCGGTTTAAATTCAAACAATATAGTAAAGTATTCTCACAATTCCCACAACTGAATAAAATTCTCTCACAAGATAAAAATTAGACTAGCCCCATATTGAACAGAAAGGGAACTGAGCTCCAGAACTGAATCACAAAATGGAGTCAGTGTGGTTCACTCAATTCCCACACTACCCACATTAGTGGTCATCTAACCTTTGCTTAAAAGTAACCTATAACCAGGGGCAGCTAGATGGCACAGTGGATAGAGTGGATAGGCCCTGGATTCAGAAAGACCTGACTTCAAATCTGGCCTCTGACACTTGACACTTACTAGCTGTGTGACCCTGGGCAAGTCACTTAACCCCACTGCCTCACCACAAAGCAAAAAACAAAACAAAACAAAACAAAACAAAACAAAAAAAAACCTGAGGCTATAATCCTAACAACTGGCCTTTCGTTATCACTTACACCCAATCTCCCAATTCCAGTTACCTAGCCCTCCATGGTATATTACCTCCAGATGGCCCCTGGGCCACTTTCTACCCTTAATCCTACTTAGACTTCATTCTCCCTTGGCCACAAGGACGTGGCCCAGGTCCCAGGTCCCAGGTGTTCTGTTCACCCCAACTTACTGGTCACTCCCATCCAGATCTTCCTGAGACCCCTCCAGTCTCCCCAAACTACTTGGCCACTCCTAGATCCCTCTCACAATCTTTCTGTATATAAGGTCCATCTTGTTTCCATTAAAGTGCTCAGATTCTTAAAATCTGGCACATGTGCATTAGTGATACAAATGCTTAGATTCCTTAAGAGTCTGTCCAATATAACGGATGTTCTAATAAACCTTGGCTTTAGCTGGAAAAAAAAAAAGAACATGTACTAGATTGCCAGGATTCAATTCTACTACCTCCAAAGAATTAAAAGTGAAGATCAGCCACTCAAAAGGCAATGAATGAAGATGCATATGGTAGGCATAAACAAACTGTAACCCAATAGAAATAAAAAATTACACAGAACTGTTATAAAGGAGGACATTTTTAAAAATCCATTACTGAGGGGCAGCCAGTTGTGGAGTCAGGAGGACCTGAGTTCAAATCCAGTCTCAGACATATAACACTTACTACTATGTGACTGGGCAAGTCACTTAACCCCAACTGTCTCCCCCCCAAAAAAAATCCATTACTAAAAAGATTAGTTACATAACAAGGACAAGGAAAGAAAAATGGACAGTCTACTTTCTCTGAAATCTTCGCAAAGCCTGAGAAAGACCTCTAACAATTTGTGCAAGACCCCAAGGAGATCCTTTGAGGTTCTGGGAGGATATGGACAATGGCTATAAGTCAGGTAGGCATGGATGGGTTATAATGTTCACCATGCGCAACTAGGTGGCACAGTGGATAGGATGCTGGACCTGAAATCAGAAAGACCTGAGTTCAATATCCAGCCTCACTACCTCTGTGACCCTGGGCAAGTCACTTAATGTCTATTTGCCTCAGTCTCCTCAACTGTAAAATGGGGATGATAATAATAGCACCTACCTCCTAGGGTTGTTATGAGGATCAAATGAGATAATTATAAAGTACTAAGCACAGTGTGTGGCAGATAGAGAGTAAGCACTATGTTAGCTATTACTGTTGCTGTTATCTTTTGAGAAAATACAAGCAGCAAGGAAGTTAGAGATAAATCTGCCTTTCATATACAAAACAGTAGCAAGATCATACAAATTTCTTCTTAGGGCATAAAGTTCTATCTTGAAAAATGTTAAATGAATTCTTATATCCAACCATTCAAAAAGTATTCTTTTAAGTAATATAGTTATTAAATTTCTTATATTTTAATTGCCTTTATTTCATAATCTCTCCCCTACTAATCATCCCTTGTAACAAAGAATAAAACAGAGAAAAAATATCAGCAAAACTAACCAACATCAACCCAGTTTAACAGTGTAAAACCTAGTTTAACAGTGTCTGAGACAGCATTCAGTTTCAATGATTCTGGGGGATTGTTCATTCCATTTACATTGCTATAGTTATTTTGCGTATTGTTTTGTTGGTTCTGGTTACTTGATTCTACATTAGTTCTTATGTTTTCCATCACAATCTTGTACCATGACTTATTAAGTCATTAAACAATCCATAGACATCTACTTTGTTTCCAGGTCTTTGCTGCCACAAAAAATTATGCTATCAATATTTATGACTATATTCTGTCTTTGACTTCCTTAGGAGATATGCTTAGCAAGAGGTGATATCTCTGGGTCAAAGGATATGGATATTTTCATCACTTTTTCAGCATCCCAACCTGTTTTCCAGAATGGTTGAGAAAATTCATGAAGTATATCACTATTGGATAAATCTTAAATCTCATATTCCAATACTCATGTACTTCTCATGATGAAAAAGAGAATTTCCCAATGCTGAAGTTGGGACATTTGAGATGGTTTACAAGTAGCCCAATAAAGTTTGTAATCTTATTATAAGCAAATTTTATAGTTAATCCAAATGTTTTATGTTCTAAATGTTTATCAAAGTTAATAAAATGAGTGCAAATGCAGAATACATTCTAATATCTGTATGTTTCCTTTATTGCAGAGAAACAGGAGTAATTTTTTAATATAAAACTATGCTCATAGACAAAAAGACGATGGTCAAACGATAAGAACAAATGGTTTTCAAATAAAATATAATCAATAACCACATGAAAAACCATAAAAATCACTAGGAGAAAAAGAAAATTTTGCTGCTATATCATTTCATATACATAGGCTAGCCAAAATACTAAAAATGGGAAAGTTCTTTGTTAGAGAGGCTATAGGGAAACAAGAATGCTAATT